TTCCATTTTCAACTTTTTTTCTTTTTTTTTTTTTTTTTTTTTTTTTTTTTTTTTTTTTTTTGGAGACAGGGTCTCACTATGTAGGTGAGACTGACCTGGAACCCACTATGTAACCCAGGCTGGTCTCGAAATCACAGTGATCCTCCTGCCTCAGCCTCCACAGTACTGGGATTACAGGTGTGCACCACACACCCGGCTTTGTTTTTCTAATTCCTTGATAAAAGTAACCACATTTGTGTTCCTCCTATAAACTCGGAGCCAATTATAGTGCAGGGTACTTAAAAATGCTGGGTAAATGTAATTTATCAACAAATTTGTAGTTGACTATTGCCTTATTTTGAACTAGCAGTCTTTGGACGTAAGTGCACACAATACCTCCTCTGAATTTAAATTTCCATCCCACTGGGCTTTGTGGTGCATACCCTTCAATGCCAACACTCTGGGAATCAGAGGCAAAAGGTTCACAAATTCAAGCCCAGCCTGAGCAACTCTATGAGACTGTCTTAGAAACAAAGAAGCTAGCAAAATCGGATGGGGCTAGGAATGTAACTTGGGGCAAAAACCCTGGATTTAATCCCTAGTACTGTCAAAAAATAACCTTCCATCCTATGCCAACTTACTTATGACATTACACTTGTCTTTTTTTTTTTAAGCAGTGATGGGGATCAAATCCAGGGCCTTACCTATTAGAGGCAAGTGTTCAACCACTGAGCTGCAGCCCCAGCCCTACAATACATACATGCTTTTCAGTTCAACCCGCAGTATTCTTCCCAAAAGTCAATCTGAAGCATGGCGTGATGGTGTACCCACATAATCCTAGCACTACAAGAGGCTAAGCCAGGAGGATCCCAAGGAGGAGCCCAACCTGGACTGCTAGTAACACCTCATCTCAAAAAACAACAAAAGAAAAAAAATCAAGAGAAAAAAGAAAGAAAAAGTGCATGTCAAAACAAAATATTAATCTTACCTCCATTCCTATGCCTGGGTCCTTCTGAGATTTAATCACTCTAGGGTTTAAAGGGAAAGGGTCCAAGGGGGCATCTATCTGTTTCATTTGAAAGTCACCATATCCAATGATATGCAGCAAACTATTTACGTTCAGTGTCTGCCCACGAACATAGCCTGAGATTTTCAAGGTGCCCACCAAGTTACTCTCTTCACTAGGCACAAAGTCAACAGCATAAGCAAATAAGTAGGCCCGCCGATCTCGAAAAGCAAGATGTCGTTGCTTTTGGTTAGCCAACTGTCTAAGTAGCATCCCTGCCTCCTGTTGAGAGTCTAACAGGAAGAGTTTGTCATTAGGAAAGCGCTTTTCCACAACTTTACTTAGCTTCTTTCTGGAATCTAATTGCTTCTTTGGTGGGAGGCCAGAAACCCCTTGGACAGCTAGTGCTGTAAGCAAAAGAAAAAAGGCTTCATTATATGAAAATCCTGCCACAGTTCCCGAGCTAGTATGATCATAAAAAAGAGTTATCAGTGAAACCAAACTTCTTTCTTGTTCTGGGTAAAGGACAGCCCAGAAATAAAAAGGCACCTTGGTTGATAATTTGTAATTAAATGACCAAGTTTAATTTGCTATGTACATTCCAACACTATCTAAATACAATTCATCAGTTTTATTCCCGAGTCAGATAGCAGGCACAGTGCCTGAAAAATGATAGGGGCTCAACAAAAGCTAATTTGCTTCCTTCTCTGGCCTCCAATACCCCAACTCACTTACTATAGGTGGGAAGTCCCTGAGCAAAGAGGCAGGAGAGACAGTAATCCCCAGTGCTGTCCCAGCCTTCCAGTGGATCAAGGAGAAACAGGATGGTATCAGCAACTTTAGCCATGTCTAACACTGTGTGCAGATCCCCTAGAAACAGAAGACACCATAAGAAGTAGTGGTTGGCAACAAACACATTATACTCAGAAAACATTACTGATGCTCAAACATAAGGTTGGAAAAACATTATATTCGCTCACCGGGTTTTGCAGATGTAAAAAACCACCGATGTTTCAAACGGGGGCACAGCAGCACAAAGCGATGGGTGTTCTCCCATTCCTGCAGGTGCACAGTTCCCGTGTCCCTATCCTGCAGCAGGCGAAGGGCTTCAGGCAAGGAAATTCTGTTATGCAAAGGCACCACCAGCACCTGATGAGGAGCCCCATCTTTGCTGCCTAGCTGTCTCTTCTCTGCAAGAACCTGTGAATAGAAAGAGCCAGAAAAATCTCTGTAATTCGCTCTGGTGTTGTATTTCCAACAGTACAGATGCACCCACGCTTAACCAGCACGGTTCTGGTTAAAGGCCGCATTTAGCCAAGGGCCGGAGGGTGGCAGGTTCATGGACTACAGCAAAGAATGCTCTAGCCTGAGTCTAGACCTGGAGGCCCGATACGCGCTCTGGAGTTATTCTCCGTCTTCACCCCCTTCCACGGTCATTCCCGAGTTCAAGGTATCCATCTAAAACGGGAGAGAGGCCGCACCACCTCCCGAACCCCTCCTCTCACCGCCTCCTTTTTCTGTTTTCGGAGCTGGCTGGCGCGGTGCCTCTGGTCTACTCTGCTGAGCTCCTTTCTCACCTTCTTGCACAGGACTTTCAGTTCAATATGGCCTGAGGGAGAGACCATAAGGGACTGTGATGTTTGGTAACACGTCCAACAAAGGGGGATCCTCGGGCCACACACTAGGCCTTTCTCACGAGTCCCATGCGACTGTAGCTCAGTCTAAGCCTAAGAAAAGCAGTGTCGGCTAACAACCCTTTCTACCTTATCTCCTACCCTTGCCATCCCGCTGTGCGGATCCTCGACCTCGATGCCGCCAGCCTTTATGAGCTTTATTATGTTGCTTGAGGGGTCCAGAACGGTGAGCCGCCATGCTTCCGCCCAAGAGCGCCTAGTCAGCAGCACTTCCGGACCAGGCCGCGTGGTTCCGGACCCCTCCGAAGGCGGGCTCTCTCCCGGGGCGGGGCTCCCGCATCCTCTCGCGATGCGTTTTCCTCCTGCATGAGAACTGGCGGCTTTGTAGTCCCAGCCGAAGCGCCACGGGAACTTTTCCCACGCCGCAGCCGGAGGTGGCGGCTTTAAAAACGCACGATGTGAAATCTCGGGACTTGGGCTCTCAGTCCAGGAAAACTATTTTGCCCCACTATTTTCATTTTTAGTACTGTAAAGTTGTACCATGTAGGATAATGTTGAATGGAATACTCTTCGTGGCACAGAGGCCTCAGCCCCTCCTCTCACCTAGACTCTGGCACGCCGCTCTTTAGTTTGCAACAAGTGTTCTTTATCGCTGAAGAACCTTTTCTTTCTTTCCCTCCACACTCATAAATTCTAAGGCAGAAGGCGCTTCTCTGACCCTCACCATCTCCGCACAAGATCCCGAGATCCCTGTTACTCCAACCTGTTCTCTCAGGGACGCAAAAAGGGTGCATGAAGGGACGTGGCGGCTCCGAAGGGGGCGAGGGAGAATAGCTGTGGTCTTCCTGTCCTCGGGCTCCGGTTCTTTAGAATTTTGAGCTGTGCCCCAAATCTTTTCCCCACACTCTGCAACCGAGGGCGAAGGTTGGACGTGGGATCCAGAGAAGCAAGGGAACAGGTAGCGAACGCTGGCTTTCAGTGGGTAGCTTCGAGCTCCGGGAACCTAGTGCTGGGACCCCGACGTTCCAATCCCTTACTCTCCGTCCGGTTGGAAGAACCAGTTGATAGAAGTTAGCATCTAGCCAAGTTGAGGGCCGCCCGGCGGGGAGCTGCGTTAGACTGGCTATAGACGCTCACAGTGCGAGTTCTTGTCCTCAGCCCTGGAGCAGGCGCGTTGCCATGACAGCGGTCTCGAGGCGCGCGCCTGGGCCCGCCACCCCCGG